GAGTGTACAGTAAATATGTCCACAATGCCCCTTAATTAATTAAGGGGCATTGTGGATGATTATTTATAAGTGAGATATGAGTCTTGCAAAATGATTCAAATTCACTGAAGAATCTTTGATACTAGAGATCAATGTACAGGTTTTTAATCCTTCCTTAGAACTCTTTGTCATTCCAAACTATGACAATACACGACAAATAATCACTGGCTTGAGATCATATGGTTAATAGTGTCTTTCGGTAATCAATATGCTTTATTTCAATTGATTTTAACATATCATCATATTCATTCATTAAAATTTTTCATCTGTAAAGAAATCTCGGCAAGGATTTCGGATTTTCGTTGGTATAAAGATCATTACTGAACTTGAAGATGAATTTTGATTTACTGCTCTAAAATTTTATTCCTCAACAATTTACCTGAACGTCTTTCATTCATTCCTAATACACTTTATAGATGTTTACGGCTAAGGCACTATGCATTGACTGTCTAGTGTTCACTGGTTCTCCAGAATAGCCTGATTTACTCGACATACATAAATGTATAAAGCCGTGGCTTTGCTTTGAGAGGAAAACAACACCAAACAGTTATTATCTGAAACTTAAATCTTTTCATATTCCCTAGAAGACAGTAGAAAAACACAACTTTTCTCGCACAGGATTATAAAGAATAAATTTTTAAACAAGATTAACACTATTAGTTGAATAAATCATCAATTTTTGTTCTAGATTTGTAAATTCTATTGTATTATTAGTGCTAGACTTAATAATGGGCATAATAATGATCATAACAATAAAACAATCTAGGTGAGAATGTTTGCCACGAAAATAAAAAAACTCATGAATTAGTCATAGACCTCACAAATGATCAATATAATATATAATAAGGGACACAAAAACAGATAGAAAGGATACACAACCATATAAGAAAAAAAATCATGCAAGTTGTTCATGCGATTTATTCGAACTAGTGTTTTTCTAATTATGGAGGTCAAATTAAATAAGGTGATATTCATTATTAATGATATTCATTTTGATAGAATCATGTTAGATGGATAAATAAAAGGATAAGAAAAGGCACAAATGTTTTAGCAATCAAGGGCAAACTGGTCAATTCTTTCTTCTTATTCTTGTTTGTTTGTTTTGTTGATAAATGAATATGCTAATTGCACTCAATCACAAAACGCATCAACACAATGCTCGAATGCATGATGTACAAATGTGCATCAATTGTTGTTTTATCTCTTTTTTCAAACTAACAATGAAACTCCTCTAATCAGACTCACACTTCATGATATTGATTATTTAAAACGGCCGCGCAGCAAGTTATTCACATGTCAATAAACGATTTAAAAACTCTGAACATACTAACATTAATAAAAATAATAATAACAACAACAACATTGTTTAAATATATAAAAACAACAGTAAGACTAATGTTAATTAATTATGTATTATTTGCAAAAGGATTATGATTTCCTGTTCCTTTACATTATGTAGTTTTTTCTTATCTATTTAGTTATTCCATTAAAGTTCAATATGCCACAGTAGTATGGAATGACTCATAAACACACGGACTTATTCTAAATTTATCGACTGCAAGAGAGGATGAGGGCAAAAACAGATATACCAAAATAAATATTACTATCCTTTGTGTGTGTATTTGCTTACTAGTCACATATATCTGTGACTTGAATTATTCATTGAGATTGAGAATGAAATTGTACCATATAAATAGATATTATTTTCCATAATACTATTCTTGAAATAATGTCTTAATATTTGCTTATATATATATATATAAATATATATATATATATATATATATATATATATATTTGACTAAAACTACTGTAAGTTATTTCTCGTTCCCATAGTTATTTTCTTCCTTCTTTAGTCCATGTCAGTTTCCCGGTTTTTTTTTCTAAAGCTTTAACGTATACTAAAACAATTTTTTTTAAAAACTACCTTGTTGTCTTATACGGTAGACAAAAATAGCAAAGATGACGACAATATTGATAATAATATTTGATTAAAGGTTTATTGGCGTGTTTGATGGTATTTTTTGGCATATTCTTTTCTTTTTTTACAAAAATTCTTTAAAGGTTAGGGTTTTAAATTATATTTCTTGTCATATACATATAGTGAAGTTGTTTGAAGAGAGTTAAACCTTATTGGTTGTTTAAAAATTTCATTTATAAACTAAACAGAGTATGTGTGTTTTTTTTTAAAAGAATACTTCAAAACTAAGCAGCCGAACTGTTAGTTTAAACAAGAACACTAAAAATAGTTCCACAAAAGTAAATAAACATATTCATTGTTTGTATAAATGATTTGTTGAAAAAAAATTACTCATTGTCTAGATGGTAAACAATGAAAACTATTTTTTTTAAAAATATAATAGAGATAACTGTAAAAACTAAATACATTGTACTCATCTCAATCTACAGTAATAGGTTGAAAAAGAATCTTTGAATAAATAAGACTGCACGATCATGTATACAGGATTAGGAGGATGTTATATAACCATAACCTTTCTAAACTCAACTCAACGACTGTTCTCAAGAAAAGAAGATTACTGGAATACAGTGAATTCATTCCATTTCAAGGGTTCTTATCATCATCTCATAGAACAGCCTTAAATTATCATCAATAAAGATAAAGTTTGTGATAGTTTAATTCATGAAGCTAAGATGGAATGTTCAGAATGGTTTGACATTAAAGGGTAAAGGGAAGATTCAATTAACCTTGTAATAATAAAATCTTGAAGCTGTGACCATAAATGTTTGAAAATAATTTATGACTGTTTGGAATGTTGACAAAATTTTCACTCAGTACATCCAAGAGCATATTTTCTTTCTTTCGTTAAACTATGTATGAAAAGAGATACATTACTTTGAACTTAATAATATCTGGTTGTAATTGCACTCCAACCCCAAATCTAAACAAATGGTCAAGTCATGACAAAGGTACTTACTGCAAAAGTTATTAGCTTTTATACTCATCTCAAATTAATAACAACCGACTGAAACACCTTTTTTTATTGCTTAAATGGTTTGAAGTGTGCAAAAGAGGATGCCGTGAAATTTGTTCATAGTATAAGAAAGTGTATGCATGCTAACTTTAAACCACAGTAATTTTTTTCATGCTTTTCATCAGAATGGAGCATAAAATGGAAAAAAAGTAGTTAGAAAGTATGACATGCAACGTAACAGTTGAAATCAATGCATATCAAGAGTTTGTGCTGAGAAATTGAGATCACAACTAATGATAATAACAGTAACAAATGATTCCTAAATTCAACGAAATAATTACAATAATGTAAAAGATGACACGATTACATTGTAAATAATTTTACTAGCGTGAAAATAGATGAATCCCGATATTCTCTATACAACAGTCAAAATGAAAACTTTCTGCTGTCAGTAGCTTCTTCAGAAGCAAAGTACCGGAAGAATTCGTATTTTTTATTAATGATATTGAGAGTTTTTAATGTCTTTTTAGCTATTCAACAACTCAAAAATGTTACTTCTGGAAACTTTATATTCTTTGAATTAGTAGTGATCACAATTATTATTGTTCCTGCCGATATGTTTATCATTTACACAAATTATATGAGTTTTATTAGAAATGGTAATATGTATCTGTGTGTGCGTGTAAATCAACCACAAAATAATTGATTTGGAATAAAGTGAATTCGCCATAGCTTAAAAAATGTTCCTTTACCAAAGTATTTCAAAGGGTAATTTTGGAGAACATGTAGGCGTTCAGTTACTGTCATTTAGTGAAATTGTTCACGATAGATTTATAAATCTATATGAGCATAAAATTACTTCAACAAATAAAATGCATTAGATTATTGACCAAATGATTATGGAAAAAGAAACAATTTTATCGATTTCATACGTAAACAGTTTCTTTTAAATACAAAGTATTTTAAAGACGTCCATTCTGGGTCCCACTGATACTACACATACATTGATTACAATGAGCGGAAAAAAAGTGACTGAAGACTATTCAGACAATCCATTCAGAATGCAGGTATGATTATTGTTATGCTCGACAGTTGATATGCTTGAAACTATTACGAGTTCACCTTAGTCGGTAAACGAGAGTGAAGACAAATGATCCAGTGACACGATAGGCTACTCTAATCCGAGCGTCCCAATGCCCCACTAAGTAGAGGAAGAAGTCTTGATATGGCGTAGAAAGTGTATTCTACAAGCACTCAGAAAATACGAGGTTTCCAAGCACACAAATCGAATTTATTTATACATGATAAAAACATCCTTGGGAGAGCCACAAAAATGGCGTACTGAAGTAACACATCAACCAGCGACAGTCAAGGATTTTTCGTGTGGGGAATGTAATCTCAAGGTCAACTGATCAGATTATACTCGAAAGCATAAAATCCAAAATTAGGACCTTTATCAAATGAGTTCTGGGAATATAACGTCCCCAACAATTATAGAAACTGGTCATTCACAGTTCAGATTGATGAAATCAAAGCGCAATAATTTTAACAATGAAAAATCAACAATTATGATAAAATTATAATAAAATGTGAAAGAAATAAGTAAGAAAAAGATTGGGTAACCCAAAATTAAAATTTGTATTCATTTAATAGTTGACTTTCATGACTAACCTAACTCTTCTGTTTGGATATCATGAAGAAACAACAAACTCTTCCATATTATATAACTGTAAAAATGTTTATCAGTACGCTATCTGTTACATCATATTTGCGATTTCAACTCACTCTTAACAACGTCACATACACACTGTCGATATTACTAACGAATGATGAACTAGTGTTGGCTGAACAGTATAATGAGTTTTTATTAAAAAATTTGTCACAAAGTTATAAGTATGTATACCGCGTAAAGTACGATATTTATTCGATTTGATTTTCCCAGTTAATGAAAGTTTTTAATCTGTTTGCATCATAAGATTTCAAGTTACATTAAATCTTATAATTTACTTTTACTTACGGTATTTACAGATTTCACTTGAATCAATGATGTTCATACTTCTATTATGCATTTCAAGTTCAACTTTAAAGGAAACTATAGCAAATTCTGCCGTAGTTGATGTGATGGAGGATGCTCGACCTGGAACAATAATTATAGATAATTTAGAACACAGATTTCCTTCACTCAAAAGTGGTGAATTCAAATCTTCTTATTTTGCAATTGGAAATCCATCAAGTCCTGGGATAAATCACTTGGAAATACGTCGGCATAGATTTGATAATTCTGTTCAACTTGTTGTTAAAGATGGACAGAATGGTCCAGACCGTGAAGAACTTTGTGGAGCACGGGAAACTCAATCGGACTCTCAAATGCCTTTCTGTGATATCTCTTTAATTATTTTACATGGTAAACGCCATGAACCATCATACGGAAAACTGACGCTCCGTATTTTGGATAGAAATGACAATAGTCCTATCTTTGCTAAGAGAGACACAACGGAGCTTCGAATACCAGAGAGTATAGAAAGTTTTGAGATGGTAGGCAGCCCTACAAGTCATCCTCAAATGTTACATCCCAACAATAAACCAATTTCAGGAAATCCAACTACTCTCGAACTACCTAAAGCTCATGACATAGACTTACCAGAGAATGGAGTTAAAACATACCGACTGACAACTGTTTCAGGTCATGAAATAGATAAAACCTTATTCAACCTGATTGTGAATAATGATAACGAAAACAAAATTGGTAACAGTTTCCCAGTTCCTCTTTTACGCATTGTTGGTTTACTTGATAGAGAAAAACAAGATGAATATTGGTTTCATTTACTTGCGATTGATGGGGGTAATCCGAAAAGAACAGGTTCACAAACTATCCACTTAGTAGTAACAGATATTAATGATAACATTCCAAAATTTAGAAAACCGATTTTTCATTTTCCAACATTTATATCCACCTCAGATTTGTATGGTAATGGTGATACTCAGGAATTTTTGAAAATCCCAGAAACACAATCACCCGGAACACCAATTGTAACATTAATAGCTGATGATCCAGACAAAGATTTAAATGGTCAGATCACTTATCGTCTCAAAGAGTCGTTGAGCAGTGATCGAAATGCTATTTCATTACAATGGTTTGACTTGGAAACAACCAATGGTACAGCAATCTTAAAAGTTGCTAAAAAAAATGGATGCAGATGATCGTCATGGATCTAGTTGGTCTGATTTAAATAGAGAACACAGTGGTCGTTTAATAAAACTAGTTGTAGAAGCTGTAGATGCTGGATCACCTTCATTAACAGGAAGTATTGAACTTTTAATTTTAGTTGAGAACATTAATGATAATGAACCTGTTATATCTGTACAATATACTCAACCAATTCAAACTGGATCTGAATTTCATAGTAGTGTTAAAGGTAAAATTGTCGGTAGTTTACAAGAAAATCAAAATGAACCATTAACAATTGCACATTTAACTGTAGAAGATGGTGACTTTTTTGAAAGCAATAATGGAGCTATCTCAAATGTACTAGAAGTTCATTGTGAAACTAATGATACAAGATTCTTGTTAGAAAAAGTGTCCAACTTAAATTATGCTGATCGCTCAGATTCTTATGGATTATCTATTGCTCATTTTAGTTCACCATTATTATTTTATAAAATGTCATCATTAAAATCAATTGATCGAGAGGTAGAACCATGGATTTTTGTAAAAATAATTTGTGTTGATCAAGTGCAAGTAAGTTATGCATTAAGTGGTTATCAAAATATTGGCAAATTGATTCAACCAAACCGATTAACTGGTAGTACTACGGTAACTATTAAAGTATTAGATGTGAATGATAACATTCCTGAATTCTCCAATCGTAATTATCAATTCAGTGTGTTTGAAACACCTTCAATATCAATGAATTCAATTAAAAATGTGTTTGATGATCAGTCAAAAGTTGAAATCGGTAGAGTGAGTGTAAATGATCAAGATGAAGGAGTAAATAGTGAAGTTACTTATAGTTTTTTATCAAGTGGAAATGATGCATTCAAGATTGATGAAAATACAGGAATAATATGGCGAGTTGGTTTTATAGACAGAGAAAAAATTAGTCAAATGGAACTGGTAGTTGAAGCTCGAGATCACGGAGAACCAAGTTTAAGTAGTACTACAATGATCAAAATTGAAGTGCTTGATGTAAATGACAATCCACCTTACTGGATTATGCCCTCTACAAATGATAGAGATAAAGAAATTCGTCGAAGTGGCCCTGATGATGGAGTATACTATTTTTCATTGAATGAAGATGCCGCGATTGGCAGTGTCGTAGGAACTATAAGTGCAGTGGATACTGATGGTATAGCCGAAAGTGAAATGATTGAACAAATCATAGAAAATCAAAACCCTGTAAAGTCACAAAAAACTAACTTTGGCAACTTACTTGGAACATCATCATCTATAACTTATCAATTAGAAAATGAAGGTGATAGTAAGATATTTTCAATTAATCCACGCAATGGAAATATACGTCTTAATAAACATTTAGACCGTGAAGTTCGAGCTCATTATGAATTTCGAGCGTTTGCAATTGATGCAATGTTGAAATCTGTCAAACCATCACAAAACAATCCATATTTAGTGAATAAATGGCAACATCAGTATACAGCTACAGCTACAATCATCATTACTGTACTGGATGTAAATGACAATGCACCAATATTTGAAACACCATTGAATGGTCAAGAATTTCACATTGAACCTGGCTCTTCAATGGCTACAGCAGGTACAACATTATTCACTGCCAAAGCACATGATCCAGATGTTGGTGATAATTCATTAGTCAGGTATTCTTTAGATAATAATGGTTATGGTATAGTAGAAATTGATTCAACAACTGGTGTCTGTTATTTTCGTGAAACAGTACAACAACATTCTTTAATGGCTAAATTAATTGCATCGAATCAACATGCAATCAGTGAAAGAACCTCAAATCAATTAATCAATGCTAATAATTTAATGTCATCATCAGAGAATTTAATTACAAATCGTGCACATGAATTACATTCATTCAGTTTAAGTCTTACTGTGATTGCTAGGGATTTAGGTACACCATATTCATTGAATAATTCACGTACTGTAAAACTTGTCTGGACTACAGAATCACAATTAAAATCATTCAATGTAGCTAATAATGACTTGCTGACTAGTAATACATTTGGTCATACATTCGGATTTCTCTCCGATAATCGTTTATCAATGGATAAATTAATAATTCCATTGATTATTGGTGCTATTCTCTTATTGTTTATTATCTTTTTAATATTGTTCGGTGTATTTCGCTGTCGTAAACAATCGAATAAAACATTGACTAATAATAAACAGTTATTCATAAATTCAACTTATTCATCAAAATTGAATAAGTCATTAAACCAAAATCATAAAAATGATACGAATTATTTAGATCAGAATAGTACAAATCATTGGTGTTTATGCATCAATAAATATTCTAGAAAATTTTCAAAACATGAACGAGTGGAAGAACTGAAAAAATCAATAAAAATTTTGGAAAACACTACTAATACTGTCAATACAATGAATAACAACACCAACAAAATGAATTCAAATAATGCACAGAATGATTTTATTGTAAATGATTATGGTGAATTTAATACAAGAAATAGAGATAATACTGATAAAGGATTACCAAGAGGTAGAAATGCACAAGCTGAAGTGTTTTTGAAGACATGTCTACCAGGTAATGAGTGTGTATTGCTATGATACCTTTTCTTTCATTTGTACTTGTCTTTTGGAAACAAAAAGGATACTGACAAGCGGGTTTTGAGTAGATTAGTCTTGTTGTTGTCACACGCTGACCTCAACTGAAGTATTAATTAAATCTAGGAGTGTAGTGTAGTAAGTAATTTCCTACAGATAAAATTCTAAGCTAACTCCTAGATTATTGAACACAGAGCTTTTGCCTGACCGAAATCCGAACAAATAAGCTATTTGGCTTGATTAAACTTTATTTGTTTCGAGCAGTAACTCAAGGGCAGAAGAATAAGTCGACGAATTCAATGTCGTTTATGAGAAACATGATAAATGATGATTGGCGAGTAAGCAAAACATAAGCATGCAGGATCGAAAACAATCCCCATGGTGGTGGGAATCTAACACACAATTGGTAGCCTCGTTTATCGATTGAACCTTACTGGTAGTAAAAGACTTCTATGTAGTCTCATTATGGGGAATAAAAGTAGCACTCACCTATGAACTTAGCAGGAGTCAAGATGAGTTCCTGGTGAGAAACCGTGACCGATCGATTTTAGTTATGTTACCAGTGGCACCTGGATTATTGTAGCCCCGAATGACGAATCCATGAAAGTTAGAAATCTAAACATTAAGATTCCAGCCTAGTAACAGTATGATGATTCAACAGATATGCCGTGACAAATATAATGTTCATAAATCAAATCTCAACAACAAAACTGCTGTTTGAAGTCTCGGTTCAAAAATATTTTTCTGTATAAAATTGGAAAGTTGTTCATTGAACTTTTGGCAAATTATCTAAGAGTTTTGTCAGGAACACGGTGAAAATCTAGAAGAAATTAAAATTTGAACATGTGTCATATTAGTCAGTGAAAAAGTTTTTAAAACTAACAAACGTATATTTATAAGTTACTAACATGCTTCAACTAATAACTCCTTAACAGGGATTTAATGCATAAGTCTCCAAAAACCTTTTATGAAAATAAATAAAAAATCTATAGTTAAACATCACTTGAATTGTTCGTCACAGTACTTAACAGTCTTGACAATGTAACGGATAATTTTTAAGAAAATTATCTTCAGATCATTGTTTCTCTTGTTGTAAAGTATTCATAGTTTTCCTATTTAGTAATCAACATGAGGTAAACTTTTTCTGAACTCAGTGATAATCATGAACAAATTGCAAGTTTTAATTCGTACCATGAAGCTGATGACCGAAAAACTTATTACCAAATCGGTATGGGAGATTCAATAATTAATTTAGCTCTAACTAAAACAAACTTGTTGAACGCTTATTTAAGAATAAAAAAAAAACTTTTTATCCTAATTTCATCAAATAAGAAAACTTCACATTTAAAGTACAACTGAATATACTTTTTGTATTGACCACTAACCAATATGATTTTGAGCTATAAATATTTTTTCTCATTTTCATTCAACAGAACAAATTAATTTTGATATAGAACATGAATATTGATCACATGAACAAAACATACAACATATTCTTAAAAAGAGGGCTGTTTTGTAATAATTATTTTAAAGAAACATGGTTAAGACGAAAAAAAATTGAACAAAATTCTCTAAATTACAATAAAGCGGATATTAAAATTGATTTAGATTATCAAAAATACAAAGAATTCTAATGTAACTTTACGATGGCGCTAACTGAGGCATACATGACACTTTTAATTAGTGTACTGTTAGTAGTAGCAGGGTTTTCTGAATTTATATCGATTTGTAGTTACTCTTACAATAGATTCAGATGTTTCATCGTAATGGTTCAGAGCTATATTAATAAGGAAGTTTGAAATTCAATTATATCATAATTTTAATAACTTAAGTATAGAAATAATTGTTATTGATGTATGTACACTACGCTTATCTCCATCGTTTGCTATAAATTATCGCGGACATTAAAGAGTGAAATTGGCAAACAGATGGGAATGTATTTGTCACTGATTAGACTGGTGATTCATTTAAGTAAGCAAAATATACTCACTGAGACATCAAACAAGAAAGATTGGTTCAAGGAAAAGTTTTTTTTCTTTGCGGGAAAAAAATATGGATACATGTACAAATGTACAGGCTTGAATTTGAATTCAACGAGAAGAGAACTCTTCATTAAACCATTCTTTCTTACTTTATTCATCTAACCTAGAAGTTTTTATGAGTTCAAAGAAAATGTCAGTAGTAGGAGGATAGAAAACCTAATCATCTTTCAAAAACTAATTCAAAAAGTTATCTGCTAATATAAACCAAGTTTTATGCGAACTACTGAACACTGTTTTCAACTCTACTTGTTAATGATTTATTTCGCTTTGTTTTAACAGTTTCTAAGTTTTCGTATTCTGATCGTTTTTAATTTTAGATTGTGTTCCATCGGTTACTGGAGGACAGATCGATCAAGCATGGGCATGTAACGATGACAAGACACGTTTCAAATGGGTACGTTGTTAATTGAGAAATTTGTTGTTATCCAGCTTCTTTTGTAAACATCTTATGTGATTATTGAATGTTTAAATCTTTTTGAAAGTTAGATTATTATTTGACTAAACATGGTGCCTTTTATCATTTTTATGTCTTACGTAAACATCGAAACTAACAGATGATGTCTAGAAGTTGTTGACAGTGATATTGATTTATTGTGTCGTTTAATGATGACAAATGCAAAATAGTCAAAGAAGTGGAACACTTAAACAAATATGAAATTCAAATTTATCTAAATTTTCATGTAAAACATTGCGTGTTAATTTTTTTCCTCAGATGATAGAGATGAATATAGCATTATGTTATATAAATGATGAAAGTCCAAGTGAATTAGAGATTATAGCAATGATCACCTTCAACTCTGTATGGAATCGAAACCAGAGACTTTAGGTCTCTTATCAAATTTGTACATTTGTATAATGGTAGAGTATTTCATCGATTGATATTGTCAAACTCCGTTTTAACAGGAATAGAAGAATTCAATCAAAACAAGCATAGGCATATCCTACTTAGGTATAACCAAATATAATATAGTGCCTACTAACTTAAGCCTGTTATCCCTAATGGAGCACAGACTGTCGACCAAAAATCTCCAATCATTTCTGTCCTTGGCTCTCCTTTTCACATGTTCCCATGTGCTACTGATTCTTTTGATATCTGTCTCTAATTCCTAGCCCATTGTGTTATTTGGTCTGTCTCTTCTCCTTTGGCTCTGAGGACTTGTGACACAGTTGAATATGATATTAGGTTAGTAAAGACGATAGTATAACTAACAACTTTGCAAATGTGATTGTGAAAAGCTATTAATGATCGCATACAGTTAAAGTATTACGTGATCGTACTTTGCGATTTTTCTTGTCAGTGTTCAACTTAACTCCGGTCTAAGTAAAGAGACTGCACAACACTTTATCTTATGATAAACAAAGTATTTAAAAATTTAAATGTTTTTTTTTGGAATTCTAAAGATTCACACAAACAATATGTACATTATCACATATTTTAACGAGAGAGTAATACGTATACTTTTAGATAACAAACATTTTACAAGGTTGCTTAATATCATAAACAAATTTTATTTTTATCTACTAATAGAATGAAATACAATCTTATCATCCAGATTGTTTTCAAAAACAACATGCATCGAACAGACGTTTGACTCGTACATTTTCAGATGATTCCGTAGTTAATATTCGCCAATTTGATGGTAAGTTGCATCATTGCTATTTTTGTAATATTTTCATTTACATAGTAATCGAAAAATACATTTATGCTTAATCTTATGCTTATTAAGTGTTTTACTAAGAATAATACACTCGATTAGCATTCAAGTTCAAAATAACTAAAAACTTTGTATTTATTCACTTGACCATAACAGTTGAATGAGTAGCAATCAATAAAAGTGACAATTAAAGGTTGTTGAAAGTGAAAGATTCATAGTTGTTTAAAATAAATATTTATGAATTTCTAGCACCTATTATGGAGATGATCTATATGTATATACATATTCGTAATAGTTATTGATCACTCATTCAGTTGTTGTAATCAATCGAAAGTATGTTATTTCCCTAATCCTGTAGCAGTAAATTACAGATTAATGCAAATAAATTTCTAATTGGATATTTAGGTTGATCATCAAGTCAACTGAAGCTCGTTTTATTTAGATCCCTTTCTTCGTAAATAGGAAAATGTAAAATTCAGCAAATTAGTTCATCATATATGAGTAGATATTACAGAGATCACTGAAACTTCACTGTTATAGTCAGTGTATAGAAAAACATGAAATATTTAAGCAAGCTAAACTATAATAAGTTGTCACTCAGAACATTCAAACTGGCCAATAATTCTCAATGCCAAACTTTATTGATAAATCCTTAAAACATTTACTGTCATGATTATAAATATATCAACTGGCCATTTATCAAATCTTAGGCATTGAGTAAAAATATCGACTTATCTCAAATGATTATATTTTCTTCCAAGCTGAATTTCATAGATATTAGAGTTTGAAAACCTACAAACATATTCATTGACTGTCGGTTAAAATGATAGCAAGTTCTACTATCTAACTTCAACCACTCCTTTGTCATTTTCTCTGACTAGAAAAATCCTTTGAATCTTATCTTTCCATGTAATCCACAATCCTTATGAAGTCAGTTGATGTACCATACATTCCCTCTAATTAGCTATTTCTCTTATTAAACTTACCACCATTTCTAATGAAAATATGATAAGTTCACTTAATTACTGCCTTATTAAACAAATTTTTTCAACTACTAAAACTATATGGTATAGCACAGTGAAAATCAATAGCGAATCAATTAAAAGCTGCAAACTGATAAAACCAAAATCTTGATGCAAAATCCTTCATTCAAATATTTACACTATTCTCTTTCCTAAGTTAAATATCTACTTTTTTTTCTTTTCAAAAAGATATCTCATAAAACATTAAATATTGCCAAAAAAAATCATTATGCAAATCAGTTATTCATAAAAAAATTATTCATGTTTTGTTTAATCGAAATAGTCATTGTTATCTTCATTCAATAAATTCATGCATTTAAACACAATAAAGAATATTTAAACAACAAATAACCTTGTTTATTTATTGATAAAGGTGACACATTTCGTTTGTCAACTGTGAATAGATATAGTATTTATTCATTGTTTGAATAAATGTAATTAGTTGATGACTTGCATTGTTTAAACCACCATTAGTCAAGGTCATGTGTTTTAAACAAATAAATAAATAACCATTAATATAATCGAAAAAGCGATGTGAATGAAAATTCACAATAATGGTAAAATAGTTCTAAAATTCAAAGTATAGTTTTAAAAAATGATTTAGAATTTCTACAGTTTCAGAAGTAAAGTAGTTTGAGAAGTGATCATGGTTTTTTTTTTGGTATAAGGAGATAATTAAACTTGTTCAACCCTAATCAGTTCGCCAGTTGAATTCTTGAAGATACACAGCCTGAGGAAAACCCCAAACAAAATGCCGATTACTAGACTACTTCATCTGTGCAAACACCCTTCTGAATTCTAAGCAAAAAAGCTTTTATTGATTATCTTTTCGGTATAAATATGTATATTTTGAAATATGCACTTTCTAGTAGTGCTTGTAACAACTATCGGTATGTCTAACTGTAAAGAACCTATTCACCCTTTTTACATCTCAAAAACATTTAACATAACTTAATGAGAGAGAGGATAAGTACACTAAAATCCCTTTATCTTAACGTTTCTTTGATTATTGAGATAACATAAATGTAAGATGGTTAATGACTAGTGTCGCGTTTTTAGATAAGCACGATGAAAATATTGTATTTTGAAATTCGTTACATACATTCCTAGCAATATTCTTTCACAATTGACGTCATTTTAACAAATGTTGTTGTTGTCTCATGAAACGTCATGGCCTATGAAAATGATAGAATTTTAAATGACTTAATGTGGAAAGTCGAAAATCATTATATTCAGACATGAGGAGAACTCAAAGATATCATACTAAGCTTAACGCCAAAAAGTTTTAGCTTTCACTTCAAGTAATGTTCTGAACCAACTAAATTTTTTTCTTAGTACAATTGATAACGACGGTTTTCAGAACACAAGTTTTTTGCACATCATTTTGAACTAAAATGCGATGAACTATTTGGCAACAACTCAATTTATTTCTTTATTGAATATTTTAAAACAAACTTTAAATAACAAAATTTCTATTTTTTTCCATCATTTATATTTCTGTTTATAGTTGGATATACAGCATTATGTGCTTATCCAAGTTCACCACATAATCATTCTCAGTTTATACCAATTCAACCAGATATAAATTTTGATTCATATTATAATGAGCAAAAACCAACCAATCATCTGTTGTTTAGTCCGTATTTCAATAGAAAATCACAAGTATCCAGTAGTGGGACCAGTAATTTTAATAATTCAAAAATTCCCGTACATTCAACATTACCAATGCCTTTTACACCATCGGAACTATCTACTGGTAATAGAGTACTGGAACCAGGCTCGATTATTGAAACAGTCTCTTCTTATTGCGCTCCAATAGGTTTACCTAATAATACATGTCAGATATCATATCCATCTATGCAAACAATTCCATCATCTTATGATTTTGGACAAAATTCTAATGGATGGACTGAAAAATATGAAGAATTTGAAAGTGATAAAGAATTAGCAGCACTATCAAAATTAACAGAAAATTCACGTACTCATTGGAAACCAAAACTGGCAGATGCATATGCAGAGAATTCTTTTGTTTAAATGATAAACCTACTAAAGTTACATGTTTCCATTCAATTTGTATGTTTGTATTTTAAATTTCCAATCATTGCTTGACATCGTTTCCACTAAGTTGTCACAATTAGTAAATATCTTCCCAATCATATATATATATATATATATATATATATATATATACTTCGAAATTTATTTAACAACGTTAAATAAAGGTGCTTTGAATGCAAGTAATACTTCTCGGAACAATCTGATGTCAGTGTTTTCTTCTTTTGTACTTATTTCTTTATTTATTATCATATCTTTTTGTTACTTTGCATTTTTTTTCCTGTACAGAAAATGAAACTGAAAAATAATAATAATAAATAATGCTTTGTATAATATTTTCAATAATTTGTTCAATTTCTCAATATGCTCAATTAATGACTAATTAATGGCATTTAGAGTTTAACACTATAAATCTTGATAGTCAGTTCATGTAGCCTTTGAAAGATGATATTTAAAATTAGTCGTGCTTTATAATAGATAACTATTTTAAATAATATTCAAATGATAAACTAATGTAATGTTTCGGAAGCAAACAAATGATATTTACTTCAGTGTTATTATTTTGTAGGTTATAAACGACTGTCACATAACTTATCATAAAAATATGTTCGTCCATTTATCTACCTAAAATCACAATCATTATGCTGCAGTTCCATATGTGAAAGTATAATTATCCATCAAGCTGTCCCGTTCATATGCTTAGTCGAATTCTATCAATCAACGTGCCTTTGTAACTAATCGAACATCTTGAAACACAGTGTGATCATTGAGTCAATTACAGTCGGTAAAAAGTTAATAATATGATTTTCATGACGGTTGTTATTCCTGAATGATCTACCGTTGTAAGCGATATAATTGTGAAGATGCAGAGGAACATTATTCTTCATGTTTTAAGCAGGCTCTCCTGATAAATATCAACTAAATAAGAAACCTAGATCAACGGCTTCATATCAGCTTGCTTGATCCATTGAATAAGTTTAAGATTATTGGCTGAAAATTGGTTTGCACATTGTGAACACTACAATTTATGGATATTATTAAAAATATGTGTGGTCGAAAATTCTTTAAAAGCTAATTCACCTGATTAAGTCAACATTATGATTACGTGTATTCTGTATAGACATTTATTATATTACCAGTTTACAAGTGATAACCAACATTTTATACTGGGATTTTATAACCAGTTTCGCATTTTTCTAATAAACTGAAGTTATACATCATTCTCTTTTTTATGGGACAAGATAAAATGTTAAGTTGCTTATTTATTTCGATTACTGTGTGACAGTTTAATTTTCGGCATACATTTTAATTTATTTGGCCAAGTAGTTAAGAGTATTTTTATATATTTAAAACCAGTTTATTCCAAATTCTTAAATGTACTTTATGATTTAAGAAACTTTTACGACGAAATCATTACTAAAAATACAGTAATAATCTGTTATTTATTTAGAAAATACTAACCTTCTTTTCGTTTGAAATATCATTTCACCTATTCCAAAAGACTTTACCATTAAATATGTATTTCTGTCAAATATTCAAATAGTATTAAACTGCGGTAGAATTACTTAAGCATTGATGACATTACAGTAAGCGATATTTAACATATTATTTTGCTTAATTAAACCGAACATTGGAACACGAGACAAAATCTAAAATTTTCAAATTTCTTTACTGATAATATTGACACAGTAAATGTATTTACATGATAAATATATCATCAACATAAACTAACTGAGATATAAGTTTTATTTTGATAAAAATGAATATTTTTTCTAATGTATGCGGTAAAGTTTGATTATTTACGAGAAACGTGCCTTTTTAAATAATACTGAGTTGTTAATGATGGTAATTCATTGTTGTTTTATGCAAATGTAATTATTTTAACCACGTGTCACACTTACCAACGAAAGTTCATTGATCTGATGTGTTAAGAATTAGTATGCATGTATTCTCATGAAACAATTGTTTGCATTACGGGATTATGAAGATTGGTAAGTTACACATTTAGAAACAATGAATCGATCAATGTTAGACCACCATTAGACACCTGGAAGCACTGGACGGCCGTTTCATCCTGGTATGGGATTCATCAGCAGTGCGCATCCACGACTCCTGCACCCCGCAGGATTCGAACCTAGGACCTTCGGTATTGTGTGTGAACACCTAACCCCTGGACCACAATTGTTTGACAAAGTAGAATAATGGTACGGATTATAAACGTAGGATATAAGAAACGGAATTAAGAATGCCAAGAGAAACTGGAAAAATAAACAGTTGATGAGGCTTAAGTTGGAGAACAGAGTAATACATAAGTCAAAAGCAGTAAGTTATATTTGAAACACAGCTTTGATATATAGTACTTCTTGTATCATTCAGGATTTACAATTCAGAAATGTGAAACATCAAATTTTAGATTTACTGATCGGAGGTTAATTATATTACTTTAATACTTGAATGTTTAATGTTCGACCGCTGAGAGATCCATGATTACAAATATCTCTGAAGTCACGAATAAAGACGAACTAGTCCAGTGGAGTAAACTGTGCTCATAGTTAATCATGTTGATTCCAAAAACTTACCTGATTACTTAACAGATGTATCACTTTTCGTACAACGACGTGTGCACTTATACAACCAAGAAAAGCTGTAACTAAGCTTTTTTACTAATTTTAAGTAAAATAAATATCAAGTAAATAAATTTGGTGAAATAATATCCATTTTGTAGATTTTATTGGGATATTAAACTAAAAACTATCTGTGCATTACTCACGTGTTACTCATGTCCACTAGATAAAATTTATTTCAAATTAAAGATCGTATCTAGCAATCTGGATTTATCTAATCGTTGATCTTGAAATAATCTGAAATGAAATTCGCATGGTAGAGGTAATGTCAGTTCTTACCAAATGAATTATTCTGTAATTTTCACCAGCTTTCAAATATCTTTGTTGAATAAATTAATAACTATCGATAAATTTGGATTTTTGCCTTTAATTGCTCAAAACAACCATAAAAATATCGTAAGCATCAAATTCTGCATAAATTTCGATAATATAACCTCGACTACCCTAACGAAGTATGTAAACAATTTTCTGCTCAGCTAAGCTCCAATAAGATGTTTAATCATTTAAGTTAATTCACCAACCATAAATAAATCAGATAATCAAAGAATTTTAAACATTTGATTTTACATCCAGGGAACACTTAGTTTGTTGAATCAATGTCACATTTCTAGAGAAGTACAAAAACTTATAAATGATTATTTCTTAGTGTTACCAAGAAAAAAACTCTGGTCAAACTGACTAAAAGATAAATTGTTAACACTGAAATTATCATCTATTCAAATGAACTTAGTTTTTTTAAAGAAAAAGAAACTCGCGCAATAAACCTCTCGTGAATCACGTTAGTGCTGAAACGAATTAGATCGATTTATTACTTCGAATATATGCAAAATGCTAATTAACTTTTAGAACAAAGATATTTTCCCACAGAATTTACCTATGTCATTCACAAGTTAGTGGAAAATGGTGCTCTCAGTCTACTAACTCATTCACATAAAATGGTAACGATTCGATATTCAGTAATATCACTTAAAGACACATTAGCTTATTAAAAAAAAACATACCACCTAAAAGACCTGGATTCCTATCCAACCTAATAATAATTCATAGCTCTCTTGGGACAATGAATCAATTGAATAGATTATGAAGTGTAGTTGACTCTTCGAATCTTTTTGTTTATAGAGTCCTGAAAAATGTAAATAATTTTTATTGGAAATGTCATAAATTTAATCCAGAAATTATTTTGTTTTGTTAAAGTCAAAATTGAATCTTCAGCCCACGGAAACACTACAATTTTTCGAACGTTTCAGTATTTTGTGCAGTCTTAGATAATAGAACTAAAAATCAGACGATGTGCCATCAGTGTTTACACAATAGCAAATAAGTTTCTTATTTCCATTATTGATTTTTTTTAAAGAGATAAAAATGGCTATAACTTCATTTGATATTCATTGATGATAACGTAAATTAAAAAACAGTGGACATTAGAAGGCAAACAGTTCCTACAGAATAGAAAGACTTCTTGTTATTCATTGACGTTATTGAAAACGTTCAGTTAGCATTTAAGTAATGAGTCAGTAAACACTGGAACTACTAAAGTGAAATAGGTCCTCTAAGATTTAGTGTCATATAAATATGTAACTAAATTACGATTACCATCAATAACATTTTAAACTTTAACCAGTGAAATAAATCATATTTATTCATTTTTAAACGATTTACTCAACCATCGTCTGATTGGTTATTCTCCATCCTTCATTACTTCGAACTTATTTGTACTTTACTGTCTAATGTCCAGAATGACATCCATCTTCACATGCTGGACAGTGTTGTAAAATTTCAATCTATCAAGAAAATGTTTGAAATGGGTGAGGTAGTCAAAATGAATCTCTTACAATTTATAATTAAATTTTAGTTATTATATTTGATACAATGAAGTATATGGTTTAGAATAGTGTTTTTCTACCACTAACTTACTTGTGACACAAGTATTCGTTCATCTGATAAGCATAAACAATGTTTTATTCCAGTGGATGTTGTTTAATTCATTCTTTCAATCAATACGATAATTAGCTATTAATCCATTATAAAATCTATAGGGCTGACGTATAAAAATATACCAGAAACGTTAATGATATTTTAATTATCATTATTATTATTATTATTATTATTGGTATTGTCGTCCACATGTTAGTTAGTAGTAAAGTCAATCAACTGATAAAAATACATTACATATATATTGAAAGAGATTAAAAACATATATATATTTCATAAAACTGAACAGTATCACAATAATATAGATAAAAAAAATAACCGGAAGCAGATTTGAGCAAGTAAATAATCAAACGAAAAATCCATTATAGCATATGTATAAATATATATCAATATATGATAAGTAAAAAACGAGATAATTGATTT